CACCAATGCCAGATTCTTTACTTCATCATCGCTCAAAACCAATTCTGTAACAACAGCATAGAAGATTATAAATATAAAGAGATACTTCATGAAGGAAAAAAAAAATAAAAACATAAGTATGTGACCGTAATTGATTTGTTTACCTGGATGCTGTAAAAGCCTCCGACGATTATATAATATATCATCCGAGAGGTAAGGCCAACATGCTTCCCACACGAACTCCGGTCGACCGAGAGTATCAGAAGACAACAAAGTAGCAAAAAGGTTTCTCAACGAATTGGCACTCGACCACTGGCTTGCCTCGATAATCCCTTCAATGTACTCTTTGTCGTCCTCAACCAGACCGAGGGAAAAACACGCGTCGCGGTAAGAATCGTGTTGTACTCCATCCAACTTCATATAGTCACGATGACACGTTGCACCTCGAACAACGTTGATAAGACACTGCAAGTAATATATGTCACCAGCACCAGGGGGGACGAAGTACAAACGCGCGATACGGTCACTTCCTTTTCTAGGCTCCCAACTGTTGGTTTCAGAGTGCCACGTAAATTTGGTGGGAGCCTCAACATATGTCAGCTTCCTGGCTTCGGGATACTTCTTGTTCGCTTCCATCCAAGCTAAAAATTTGCTGGCGGCATTTTTATTTTTCTCAACCACTTCATCAATCGGAGCTTGATCGGGATAGAAGCACGGATGCTCGTTCTCGAGGTGAAAATTCAAGCGCTCCACTGATGGGTGCTTGTATTGAATCTCAAAATCCAACAACCGCCACGCAGCCTCACAAGATGAAACATACCGACAATCATAGAACATCTTCACCTCGTCAACTGGCCTGCTAGAGGACTCATCTCCATTAGACGCATGGAAGGTGGCAGTAACACGATCGTTCCCCTTGTTCACGTACTTGAACAAATATTTGATGGACCTCGACTGGTTGCACCACTCCATATTTATGTGCGTGCCGTACTTCAGGAGTAGTTTTCTGTTATGAGGCACAACATATCTATTATCCAGGGGAATGCCATTTTTTACTATGGTCCTGCCATTATCACGACGTCTGTATCGTGGATAGCCTTCTTCGTCAAGAGTTGTGGTTTCAGAGAACTTTTTAGGAAAATGTTTCGTGCAACAATCGTTCGCCATACATGGGGATTTCGGGCGAACATTCCCGCAAGGGCCGTGCATCATATGATCTCTAACAGCGGCATAGTAAAACGGATCGGTGGCCTCATCCGGTATCTCTCCAGAAATTATTTTATCTATGCCATCAGTAGTATGTATCTTGAATTCCTTAGCAAGGAAAAGCAAGATATGGGCATGAGGAAGGCCACGCTTCTGGAATTCAATCGTGTAGATTGCTGCAAATAATTAATATTTATGTGAAAAATAATATAATGCCATAAATATAATATAATAAAAATATAAAGAAACTAAATAAATAATAGTCATAAGAAATACCTGCTTTTACATCTCCAAACATCTTGTTATGTCGAACATCCCTCATCAATGCATCCAACTTAGCCTTAAAAACCCGACAAATGATATCAGTACGATCCTCTGGGTTGAGGTTCCTCTCAGCAAGAAAACGACTGATTTCGGGCCACTTCGGATTGCAAGTGAAGGTTATGAAAATGTCAGGATAACCGGTCCAACGACAAATTGCCATTGCATCCTGATAGTTCTGAATCATATATCTCGGGCCTCCCGTAAAGGATGACGGAAGTATAATCCGTTTGCCCTGAGAAGCAGGATTAGTGTCACCGCGCAACACAGCGTCTGAAAGTCGGCTATGCAACTCAGTTCTCAAGTTTCCCTGATTAAAACGGATGTATTTGAGCCTAGATCCCTCCACCATTGTATAAGCGTCCACAATAAACTGCTGATACAACCTCCGAGCCGAAAGAATTGACGACAATTCGGCATCCCGATCGTGCATCTGATATTTGAAGAACTCGTTCGGACTGATAAATTTCCTCGACCTCTTCGTAATTGGTTTTAGGGGGGAGAATGAAATGTCCTCCCTGTAACCATCCCCGCCGTATGGAAAAAGAACAGGATAATGGAGAGCCAAGTAGGAAGCGTTCAACTCGTTGATCCGCTGCAAACGTCCGCTCTGATTTTCTACTATAATATCCCTGCTCCCCATAGCACCATCGAAATCGCCAACAACTAAGGCGGCAACTTCCGAAGTCGAGGGTAAATTATAACGTCGACCATCCTTGTTCCTTCTACCGATAAGACGCATCTTAACTTCGATTTGCTGGTGCTGGTTCACCGTCTCCCGAGCTATTCTAAACGACTTGACCAACACATTGTAATGATCGAGCATCTCTTGTAAACTACGAACTACATCCTCATCTAGATTATTTCTTTCAGAACCTCTCCTGCATTAAAAAAAAAAAAAGAATAGAATTGAATTAGTACAGATAATGTAAAATAGAGTGAAGAAAAAAATAGTACTCATTTTTTAATGATAAATATAATATATACCTCACTGAATACAATCGGTTTGAAACTTCGTTCTCTGTGTCATAGATGTACGATTGAGCAAATTTCAGAGAAGCTCCAGAGTCGGGTAGCAAACTAGCCATTAAATGGTAGTTCTGACCGTGCAAACGGAAGACGGGTGGGCCAGATCCCTTGTTTATGTCGGTATCAATTTTTCCACCCATGGATGTGAAACAAAACATGTTATTGTAGGATCGAATGTTTTCTTGAAAGTGCTTGCTTCGGGGACCCGTCCCAAAAATAAGGTCACGCAGAAAGGGAGGCGGAGTGCAAACGGGTAGGAGTTCGATGTATCCGTGGTTGCAGCAGCCAGAATACTTGGGGACCCTAGGTTTAGATGGCTTGCCCAGTCGCTCGGCATACCAAAATCTGGCACCACAGTGAATGCAACGGAACGATGCATCGCCAATATCCCAATATTCTGCATCATTATAATGTATAAATATAGTAGAAATTTGTCTATTAATGTAAATATTTCAAAATCTAATGATAATGGGTAAAAAGGCCATAAATAATTATTACAAAATAAAAAAATATAATAATTTTAAATAAATATTTACCATTGTTGATTGGTGCCGAAACGGAAGATAAATTTTGACTACAAACATTTGTGAAAGTATGGATTGGGAGCCTGGGACGCCCGCCTACATTAGTCCGAGGTGGTAAGCTTAAAGGTGACACTGCACGAATTTAGATAATTGTTATAATAAATCAAGACTTAATATCTAAATATATATGAGTAAAAAATTTATTTTCAAAACAAATAATTAAATTAAACAACTTGATAGTATTTTTTGAAATACCATTTGTGATGGGTCGTAAGGCGAGTCTCGGACGACCGCATACGTTCTTCCGAGATGGCAAGTTGGAGGATGAAACTGCAAAAATATGCGAGTAAATATACATGAGTAAATAACATTAGTATTTTGTTATAAATAATTAAGTAAGATAATTTGATAATAGATTTTGAATTACCATTGTTGACATTGTTAACAACACTTCTCGGTCTCGCATTTTCATCGTCGTCAATTGTAAGATCAATTAAAGGTACCGAACCGCTCGAAGAAGTTTTAGCGAGGTGGGATACTGAACTCGTTTGAGACGAACGTTGAGAATTTACGAAAGTAACACCTAAAATGAAAGGTTAAATAAAATTCAGTAAAATAATAAATATTTCTAAAAATATTTCTTATAATTACACAAGCTTTTAAAATTATAAAAAATCGAGAAAAATAAAAAATATATACCGGATTGTTGAATAATAGAAGACGCGTTAGTAGGCACTGGTGTACCTGCAATCATTAAAATACATATATTTTTATTTAAGATACAACATTTATAAATTTATTCTTCTCAAAAAAAATTTTATAAGTATTTATGAAAAAAAAAAATGCAACTAACAAAAATTAATTTCAAGTTAATAAAACAATGCAGCAAACAAAATGCCTATTTTAATTAATGGGGCCTAGAATTTAATCTGAAACCAATTTAAGGAGTTGTAAAAAATGGAATATTGGGCCTCTTTAACAAACATTAAAATAATTAACATGCAGCCCAATTCGATCCTAAATAAACTGCAGCCCAATTTTATACCCAACTATTTGGTCCTTCTAGATGTTGTAGATTTGTGACACGTATAAAATCGGGTCACCGAAAACTTGACGCGTGGAAACAACATTTCTCAACTTGTTAAGTGTAGTACAAACCCTATCTGAGACATTTACTCCATCTCTCCGCACTTTTTTCGCTCTACCTATTTCTCTCTTCTCAGACATTCTTCTTCACCATTCTACCGAGAATCTAGCAGAAAATTTAAATTGACTTGCGATTCTTTCACGTTTTTCAAATGGCGGTCGAAATTATACCCGAGTATTGTTTTTTCGACCAAAAAGAGAGATTGACATGTACATATCGATCCGTTTTTTGAAAATCGAAATACTGAGTCATAGTATTCGGTACAAAACAGACGATAACATCTTAGATCTGTAAGGATCCGAAGGTAATTTATTTATTTTTTTTTTGGTGTTAAAAGAAAATTTTGTTTGATTTTCAAAAGTTTTAAGCACTTTTCAACAATTTTTTTAACAGATCTGTGAAAAACTTATGACATTGATTAATATTTTTTACTTTTTTGTTGTAAAAATAATTTTTCGTTTGATTTTCATAAATATACTATTTATTCGACTATTTTCCTAACATATATATTCAGATCTGAAGTTAATTAGATCATTTTATTCTTAATCTGTTGAACACTCAAATTTCGTTTTGATTTCACCAACTCCAATTCAAGCAAGACACCTAATTTCTTCATACGATTTCACTTATATGATTTATGTTGGAATTTGCTTTTACTGGGTTATTGTTCGTCTGTATGTTTGTTTGCTTTTTTCTAACACGTGATTTTGATTTTTGTTGCCTTAGTTGGTAAAAGTATGAAATACGGAAGTATAGTATGGTTTTCTTATGCTTTGAATTAGGTTTAGTGAGTTAGAGCTACAAAATCCCGTTAGGTGCTTCATGGGTTTCTGTTTTTATTTTTTCAATGTTCTAATCACATCTTAGTTGATTGTAATTGTAATTTCAAGTTCTGTGTATATTTTGGTTAATGTCATGTAATTTTCTTGTTTGTATGGTGCCTAAATGAACAGACTGTTAAAACATCCATTAAAACAGCAAGCACTAAGCTCTTGATTTATTTTTCACTGAGCTATGGTTCTCGGGCTCAAATTTCAGAATCTGTTGAACACTCACATTAATTAGCTCATTGTAGCAGATGTCTTAACATAATATTAGGCTTACCAATTTTTTTTACTTGAAAAAATTTGAGGCTGCAACGAAGGCTAAGCGGTGCGAACGTATAGTGTGACAGTGGTGAGAGGCAGTGATGTAAATCGGAATGTGGACAGAGAAAGTTATGACATAGAGTCATGGGATCAACAGATAAGTATCATTGACTATTTCAGTACATATATTTCATTTTTTTTTCTATGGGTTTCATATCATTCAAATAACCCAATATACTTTATATGCAGATTCAAGTATGAGAGCAGGCATGCTGAGACAATTGAAAAATAAACAGTACATCACAATACACTTGAAGATAGCTTGTGCAAGAAAGGTACATAATTCATCATGTACCATCTTGTGTGACTTCCTGTTTGCTGCGTTTAATTTGTTATATCCAACTGACAATCTCTTCATGCTGTCTTAAGTTGCTGGATACAAATAGTAGGATGGTTAAAAAAGTTTGAAGTTCTTGAGGTTTTGGGCTGGGTACAAAATTTTGGTTGGTTACAAAAGTTTGAAGATAGGTCTTTCTTGGCAATCCTTGGAAATCAAAATGGTTACAAAATGATTGATGGGTTGGGGTTTATATACTATTTTTTTGGCTTCCAAAGAATCAGTTTTTAGATTTAATGTGTAACTTAATGCAAATGCTTATATCAAGGATTTCTTTATTAAAAACAGGTAATTATATTAGAAAATAAACTTATACTGATATATATTGAAATAGGAAATATATTTATAGCCGAATTATTACAGAAGAGTGAAATCAGTAATGTAATAAATAGAATATGAATCTTTATCTACTTTAATATAATCATATATATCTATATTTATCATACATATTATATTTATATGATATGAAATCAAAATGCTTGGCTGAAGGGATTTTTTAATTTAAAAACGGTTTGAACATTGAAAAAATGCTTGTTTGAAGGTGTTTTATGTTTAATTAAGTATTTAAGATTTTAACCTTAAAAAAATACTTGGCTGAAAACCTGATTTGTTTGATTAAGTATTCAGTTTTTATCTTTAAAAAATTGTTTGGCTGAAGGGATTTTTTTTTTGTTTGATTAAATTTTCAGATTTCTCTATTATTGCAAGAAAATGTGGTCTGAATTTCTCTGTTTATATTATTCAGTTTTTATTACTTCAGCATTTATTATTGCTTGAATTGTGGAGTGAATTTCTCTGTTTGCAATTCACAAACAATTGCTTCATTTTTTAATATTGCATGTTATGTGGACTGAATTTCTGTTTGTGCAAAATATCAGTTTTTTAGTTTTTTATTATTTGTTGTTACTGTTATAATTATTAAACCAATACTGAAAGAAAAATAAGAAAAAAAATGGAATTGAACTTATTTATTCATAACTGAAGTTCAGCTTCAGAATAACAAACTTAAGAAACAACTTCAAAATAACAAACTGTAGAAAAATTATTTTCAGCCTACAACTCATTATTTCATGCGGCCATTTCTTCGGAACCTTCTACTTTCTCATCTTCTTCTTTGATCTTCTTTGCATTGCTGGATTCACCTTCAAAAAGCTTTCTTTTCAGCTTATTGTTTGTAACAGCTTCATGGCCATCCTTCATCTTTTTAATAGGAGTGTTGACTTCGCCTTCTGAGGAAGATTCCTTTAAAACAAATAAATCATAAAATCAGAATTTTAAATATAATCTATGAGTAGTCAGAATTTTAAATAAAAATTGCATACTTGTGGAGGTAGTCCGAGTGGACCGAATCTTTTGATTAAAATTGGGTCTGAGGTGCAACGTGAGACTTGAAAAGGACCATTATATGTTCCAAGTTGTTCATTTTTTTTCACAACTTTGAACAAATATTCTTTGTCGACCAAATCCTCCAAGTCCGTAGGCAATGGCGAGTCATCTCCTGACTGGTTTTATACAAATTATTAACACAAAACTGAATATTAAAAAAATTATTATATTGACAACGTTTTCGAACCTCTATCATCTCCATACGAAGTTCATCACATGATTTTCAGACCATTTCCTTTGCAACACGGTCCAGCAGCAAACAGTAACCGTATCCGTGCTGTCTACAATAGTTAAAATCAATTTATACCTG